TGGCACTTAAATTTGAGAGATGAATAAATAATGTTATATCATGCCAGTACAGTACATCTGCACTTTTGCAATCTATGTTTAACATACAAGGATACCCAATCTAGGCAGTGGCATTATTGAGTGGTGATTACTCTCAATGACTGAATGTTAATTTTTTATTTTTTGACTATTTTGAGGACTTCATTGGAGTAAGTTTTGAAAACAAACATCATATTAAAAACTTCTGAGAAATGTTGAAGAGGCTGTGTAGCTGTTCTTGAATTATTTAATGATATCCCACAATCAATATAATTAAGAATGTCCATTGATGAGTCATTAGATTAATTAGAAATGACTTGCCCCGGAGCGACACAATCACTTGGTCACATGTAGTGAGGATGGGGAATCTGGTTGACACAGGGAATCTAATTGAACTTTTCCATGGCAACACATTTTTTCTGGTTTTCTTTTGACAAAAACAAAATTTTCAAAATTCTGGAGATGTTCTAAGTTATTGTGCCAAATTTCCTCGTATTTAAATTGCTTTGGTTTTCCTTTCAATTGCAATCATGCTACTTACTGACAAACTGTCTGTAGTAATCTGAAATGTCTGTATTTTTTTGCAAAGACTTATAGATAAAGTTGGATGTTATAATTAGGGACCAAATTTATAAGCACTAATAATCTAGAAACATGTATGCATTTATACAGTAAAAACTTCAAAAAATGCAGCACAATATGCTGTATAAAGTATATTAACTAGGCGTAACATTTTCTCATAATTTTTATGCCCAATCATCCAATATTGTACTCTACTTCAGCACTATACTGCTCAATGAAATTTCAAAGAACAGTAATAGTGAATAGTATTATTTAGTTTCCAAAATGGATTGTCTGATTCTAAATAGATGTAACCCTTAGTATTAGAATGATGTTTGAATAAAAATCAAAAAAACCCTTAGCAGCTAACTTCACACTAAGAAACGTAAGAAACCTTTTTCTCTGTTTCAGTTTCACTCAGTTTTGTAGGATATGCCCCTTTGTGACTTGTGGGAATTCATTTCATTTTCGTTTTCACAACAGTTCACATCAATTAATCTAGAGCGATTTGAGGGTCCATAATATTTGAAACAATTGTTATTAAATGTTATGCATAATTCAAAACAGTAAATTTATATTATAACTACAATGTGTCACATTTATAAAACACATTACATATTAATTATTTAATTTATTAAAATAATTATAGTAAATAAATATAAAAAATAATAAGTTTTCAAGCAAAATATCATAAATAATTAGCAAATTGCTTAAAAATGATACTTATTAAGAAAACAGGCAAAAATGTAAGATATGCATTACATATTCATCATCATCATCATCATGAACTGACCAGAAATTAGGCTCTACAGACTGTTTCTATTGGTTTATTGCAGTTTTCTTTGTGTATTATTAGTCTTGCAAGTTTCCTGCTGTCGCCACCTCTTTAGCAGGCTCCCTCTATCTCTGACCCTCATTAGATTGTACTTCCAGATTAATTTTGGATATCTGGTGTTGTTCATTCTCTGTAAATGATCTTTCCATCTCCTTTGAGACTGTTCTATCTCTTCTACAAAACATTCGGTTTTCAATTTCTTTCTGATGTCTTTATTTTTTAGTCTGTCTCTTCTTGGGATTCCCATGAGGTGTCTAAGAAATCTCATATATGCCACCCCTAGTCTTTGTTTCTCTCTCTCTTTCAATACCCATGATTCAGAGTCATACATTATTCTAGGTTTAGCAGCTATATTGTGAAGTTTCAGTTTTGTTTCCGGGTCCATGTCTCCGCCAAAGTGTCTCTTAATTGTATCACATATTCTATTATAATTTTTAAGTTTGTTTTCTCTGTCTTCCTGCATTTGGCTTTATACAGTTATGATATTTCCAAGGTAAATTTATTTACTTGTTCCACTAATTTTCCATTTATTACTATTTTGGCTCTCCTTTGTTCCTTGCCTTGTATTGCTGTATCTTTTCTGAACTGCTGTCTTCATGGAATATTCTTGGGCCCCTTTTGATAATTCAAAAACTGCTCTTTTTAAATTATCTTCAGAATCTATTACGATTGTTTGGTCATCAGCATCAAGAGTGTATCTATCTTCTTGTCTTTTGTGATCTGTATTCCTTGTCTAACTTTCCTTCTCCAGTCTCTCACTAGGTGGTAAATACATATGTTGGGTGATAATCCACATCCATGCCTTAAGCCACTGTCAGTCATTATTGCTGCCGACTGTTTTCCGTCTCTTAAAAGTACTTTTAATTCTTGAGTTCTTGTAGAGACTTTGTACTGCATTGAGCAACCGATTTGGAACTTTCTTCACTTCTATTATTTCTCAGAATTTCTATCCATTAACTTTGTTATAAGCTTTTTTATAATCAATAAATCTGGTCACAGGTAAAAGTTCTCATAAATTTTTGGCGAAATTGGGTTAAGTACTAAAATTACAAGTTAAGTATCTATATTGGTTTTTAGTAACACAACCAAATCAAATGTTGTCTTTTAACGACAAAAATGCAAAATAGAGGTGACTCAATAATCTAACCCTTGTTTTTTCCAAACTAAGATTTTTGACTTAAGAACTTTTACCCCTCACCCATAGAAATATTATAAAAGTTGGTAGATTCCTTACCCTTCTTTTGTCTATTAACATTTGTAATGTAAAGATAGTGTCGTAAGTGCTTTTACCCTTTCAGAATCCACACTGCTCTTCGCCCATGAAATTCTCACATATTTCATTGAGTATGCTCCTTAGCATGTTTGCATTTAGCTTAGAAGTTGTTGATAGAAATGTAATGCCTCTATAATTGTCACATATTTCCTTTGAGCCCTTCTTGTGAATGTTAATAACCAAACCCTCTTGTTATTTATTTGGAATTGTTTTCTCTTGCCATACTTTGTTAAAAAGATCTAATAACATATTCGTATTTAAATAATTAGCAATTAGGATTTCCATGTACCTAAGAAATGTGCATACTTTCAGATTGCAGGAGAAAAATATGAAGTTGCTTTGAAATTCAGTCCCTAGTTACAATTCTGGTCATTGAAAATTAAGCCAACAATTCAAGAGTTTTGCCTTTTGACATAACTTATATTATTAAAGAACAAAAAGGAAAAGAAAATGACTAAAATTCATTGTAGGTCAGTACAATCAACATTTTTCTCAATCACATTAGTAATTTTAACAGAGCTTGTGTGCTACTTTTGGGAAAAGATTGAATTAATTTACATCATTCTTGAAGCTTTTGCTAGCGAAGGAAAAATAAAAATAGCTGTAGTATTGCCATCTAACAATATCCATAATACATTTCCTTTATGAAATTTGTAATATTTCCCTACTTTTTCTCTATATTTCCACAAATGTAAGGAATATTAATTTAGTTACAGCAGCTCCTGGCTGTAATATTATCAAATGGATACATTTAATCACAATGTTTGGATAAGAGTTGTTGAGTTTTTAATCTGCATTGTAATAAATGTAACAGAAAAGAAAGCAATTTGCATAAACTACAGAACTTTACACAACTTTCGGTCAAGCTTTACAAATGCAGTAAAATATGATATATTTCCCTTCTGAGGTATAGTAACAAACCTGGTAAGAAAGGATTTGTGGCAGTGAAGAAAAAAACCATCAAATTTATTTTGTATGTGGACAATGACAAAGAACAGGGATATCAAAAGCTTAGTTGAACGTTTAAGCATTTCTGTAATTGTTAAACTTGAAGTATTAACATGGAAAAACAACATGTGATGGACTTTAATATTTTTAAAATACATTTGAATAAGCTAATACTCTATAATGATTTTTCCATTGCCTCCTTGACTTGTATATATTTTGACTAATTTTTAATATAATAAAGATGACATTAAATAACTTTTACAAGTGAGTGTTAAGAAGGTACCCACCTGTATCCATAAGGTGTAAATTCAACTATCAAGGGTGATCTAGCAGTTAAGTCTTCAATTCAATTCAGTTCAATTCATGGCATTGTAAAAATAACACTCTGCTATCAATAACCAATGACACGTTCGTAATTACAATTTTTACATTTTTTTAACAATAGAAATTAAAATAATCTCATATCTCAAAAAAACATATTAATTAAGAAATTACAATTACTTTTAAGTTAAGCATAAACATAAAATTCAATAGAATAAAACATTGTAAAGCTACACTTTTAGCTTCTTTTTTTTTATTCTCCTCTCTTTCTTTCAATTTTAATTAACCCAGCCCTTTCTCAAAGTCATTCTTGAGTAGCTATTGTTTTCTTAGTAAATTTCTCATTTCTTCTCCAATAAATAGAATATTAAGTTATTAATGTATTAATTTTCTAGAAACGCTTTCTGAGACCATCACCTAAATGTCTATTTTCCTTGTTTCCTCCCGGCGCTGATCCTGATCAAACTGGAAACATCTGGACAACACAAAGGCATGATCAGGTTTTGACTTTCTGTGGAAGCGGAGGCTCCAAGATTGGGTAGCATCAATAATCTGAATGAGAAATAAAGAGAATACCAGTCCAGATTTTTGATTTTTCACATTGATGACATCTGGCTTATTTCACTTACCAGGAATCCCTTTGAAAATTTGAGTATGCCTCCAATCCTTTTCTATCACAGAGCTGTAGGTATGCGATGAACCTTCTCTGTGTTAGAGATTACATAAGTCCACATTTGAATTTCATAGAGTCGTCACAAGTAAAACAAATTCGTAGTCTTCATACCGGGTGGTTATGTGACATCAAGATTTAAAAAAATTTATCATTACTTCCATGTAGTGCTAATGTAAATTTTAGATTTGGAATAAAATGTGAATCATTTGAAATTGTAATTTTTTACAATAATTTCTTTTAAATGGTGAATTTTCATTTTTTATATGCCTTTTTAAACCCCTACTTAATAAATGTCTGAATTTGCGAGCTCTAATGATGACACATTGTCTCTTAAATATAATGGAAATTAAGAATGGGAAAGAAACAAGGAACCTGCAGAGTGCATAAAAAAATATCTCACCTTCTCATTAATTTTTTATTTGTATTCTTATACAGCTTAACACAAACGCATTGCTTTATCCATTCAAAGACATATTTTAAAGTAAATTATATTTTCACCCTTACTTAAACTTTAAATCATAAGTAACAAGTGCTCACAGAACAACACAATTTTGTTTCGAAGTTAAAGAAAAGACAGACTGGCTGCATCTTCACTACACCAGCAACCATTCATTTAAAACATGGGTAAAGAAGGGAGAATTGAGAATTGTAGAAAATATCATAATCCCTCTCTTGCATCTCTTTATATTTACACACAGAATAAAATAGATGTTGTGCTGTGCTTCCATTGTGAACTTCAGGTGAGAATTACACTAATAAAAGTTTCCGAAGATGAAAAGACCTGCAATTAAACAATCTTGAAATGATCACACATACTATAAGTGCAATGCAGTGTAAAAATGAAATATATACATATTCGTATTTGAAAAATGCCTTCCTACACTTGCACTTGAATACACAGTTATACAATCTTTGCTATCACTTCAATGGCAAAATCGAAATCCATTAGCAGTTCACTTTGATTCCCAATATTAGCTGCACTGTTAAACTGTATCTGTATGATAGAAATATTAATGAAGAACTTTACACATCTTATGAAGATGATAACGAAACCCCAAAACCCAAATATATCATGTACATAGTCTTAACAATTAAAATTCTATTTCAGATTGCTCATAAAAAAAACTAAAGTATTACAAAGTACTTTAAACATGTTAATCATATTCTATATAATTGATACAGCATTAGTACGGCACTTAGATTTAAAATTAAAAGGAAATAAAAAACATTCAATCAATATATTACAAGTTTAGCTGCCGTTTGTGAACGGGCGACAATGAACAACAAAATACTTCATCTTCACATATAGAAAGTTGATTTCTCAAAGTGTCATAGAATCAGAAAGTTTGGGACAAGGGCATGGTATTCAAGTTCAAGACATGTTACAATTGCACCTTCCACTTCAAGTCTAAGGCACTCGTTCATTTGTTTTAAATATTTCTTAATGCAAAAGAGGCCTAAATGTCAATTGGAGGTAGACAAATGTTTATTTTCAAACCATATTTCATAATCCAAATTTCATAATAAAAATTCCTAACATGGATCCTTTGCATATATTTGCATCAACTGCTACCTATTCTAACCACACTCATAATTTCAGGAGCAAGTTCTCCAATACATCAGCAATGATATGCTTCATACCCTCTGATATTTTTCTAGGAACAGTGTGAGAAGGCACAATTATTACATACAACTAGTGTAGTAATATACTGCTCTTATATTTGAATAAGAGGTGAGAACTATTAATCTGATGAGAAAAATACAATTAATTGCAATAGTTTTGTACAAAAGGCACCTTCTAATGGATGGATTTATTTACATTTAAAAGCTTTTTGCTTTTAATTTGAGCAGTGTCTATAATCTTCAAATCTCTAGATGTGATCACAAAATAGTGATAGTATGTGATAACCTGCTGTGCTGCAAGAATCCACTTGCTCTTGCATAATTCAAATTCCATATTTTTGGTAACATTTCATATTAAATAATCCAATATTAGCACTATTTCTTTAATCAGATATTTTTTGCACACATTTTCAAAATATTTTTCAAAACATGACTATTTTATGCGACATACGAACCAAAAGACCAAGAATTTCAAACCAAAGTACTTAAAATTTATTTAATCTATTCATGAACATGCAAGAGCACGGATTAAAACATAGCTTAATAAACATGGCAAAGAATGCTAACAACAGATTTGCTCCTCGAAAAAATTGTAGAAAACAATATCACAGGAGCACTGAGTGCATTCTATAAATATTTATCCCATTAAAGACTTGACTCAATATCCTGCAAACACACAAAATCCAGCTATCTCTGTCACCCTTTCATTTGATAAAAGAAGGTAAATGAAGGAGAGTACTACTGCTTCAGCAAAATAATCTAATAGATTATTATGCTATACACAGAAGCTCTAAGTGAAAATAAAATAATATTCTCCACCTCTTATTTTAATTATAAATAGTATTATTTGATGTACAAAAATAAAAACCGGCAAACATTATTTATTGAATGCAAATTCAATGGGGGTATTTTCTTTTTAAATTGTAATTTTTTCAGCACATCATCACTACTTATATTGAATTGCAACTGAATTCTCACATACACTAGATCAATTCACACAGACATTCACAAATGAAAGGGAGCCATTATCAGTTCCTAAGGTGGCACACATCTTTGTACTTTCCTTACAAGTATTATTAGCAAGTGGTCTGGCAAGTGTAATATTGCATCATTGTAGTATCCAGTACTGTCACTCAAACAATGTTTGTGGAAGCCAGAGAAAGCACAAACTGTACTGAATATAACAGAACTATAAAATTTGACATTCACCTCCACATTTACATTTCAAATAAACTTACTTCTTAAAAATAACATTCCAATCAACAAATGTGGATTTTAAAAACTGTACACAAAAATTGATTACAAAGACTAAATTTCAAAAGGTATTCTACTTATACTCTATCACTCTAAAATTGCTGCCATTCCAACACAGTACTTTATGCAATTATGTAATGTAAGTTATGAACATGCATTAACATTGTTGTGCTTACCTACTTGCAATAGGTATTTACAGCTAAGTGCAGGTTTGCTGAGTGTAAGGGGAACAGAAAAATGTACTACTGTTTTTCATGTTCTATTGCAATCCAATTCTATTATAACATAAAAGTTGTGATGCATCTGTTTATGTCATATAGTAAATGTTAAGTTCATCTTGTTAAACAATTTTAGTGAAAAATCTAAATTACATGTTAAAGTGCTACTCATTATTTAAATACCAATTATCACTAATAATATCCATGCTAACACTCAAAAACAATCACAAAAAATTAAATAGTAAGCTATAAAACACAATGAAATAGTTAACGTAGAGCTTCAGTTGTGGGAGTATTATAAATTCTGACCAGTCTATAATGCAGATCTTTCTGCTGACACAAATTTAGTTCAAGGAGGATTTACTTTACTGAGTGCTCTTTGCACTAGTTTTCCTGCACAAACCTGCTCTTAACAACCACCATCAATATTTGCAGAAAATAGATCATATTAACATTGCATAATTGTGAACATGAGAATGGTCACAATTTTAGAATGATAAAAGCCAACTTACAGAACAGAGTAGCAAAAAAATTGTATGTAGCAATGTAAATTATCAACACCTCTTATAACACCCTTACCAGACATACACTGTCTCCAACAATATCCTGGGTCGTTATTTCAACATACCCTTCAACGCCTAAGAAACACAGACATTACTGCAATTTTACAGTTCTGCAGCATACACAATTAGGACAAAACAAGGTAGGCTTCAAAATAGTATGAGCAACTGTCCATTCTCCACCTACCACACGTACATTTTCATGGCACAGCATTTCCGTATCGAGAAGTAAGAAACAACTTGCCAAAAGTCAATATGCCAGAGAATATTGAAATTTCTTCCAATGATGTAATGCAGATTACGACAGTATCTAATTTAACTGCTACAACCTGCACACTACTACAAGATTGAGCCATTAACAAGAATTAAAAATGCACCAACAGTAACAGAAAAATAATGCTACACAACTGGCTTGTAGCATTGAAGCACCAAGTAAAAATATGAAATCATAACAAGTAAATCTGGATACACAAATGCATAGTAAAATACATTCAGGCACTATCATAATTTTCTTCAAGTACTATTTGGCCTACAAGTTCATATTTTAAGCCAATGCAACAAATGTTAATAGATACTCCAAAACAAGAAATCAATTGATATGACATTTAGCACATATAGGATCAACATTTGCTCATGTTCGTAACTTCCACGCTTTTCATACACTGCTATAAAATTACTTAACTACAAAACCTATAGATGTCCCAAACTTGATATGGTGTTTGCCAGAGACAAGGACACAAATGCGTGATAACAGTATCTGAGAAAAACCTTTTATATGCACCATTTTGCATAAACAGCAAATTAAATTTTGCAAATAGCAACGGGAACTGCTTTTCAGATAATATCACTTTTATAAAAAGGTGGGTAACGACAACCAAGACACAAATGGAATTGTCTATTTTTCCATTTAAGCCATTATTCGTATTGAATATAATATTCCAAAATGGTGCAAACAAGACGCACAGCTTAAAATTACTCTACAAAAATAACTTACATTTTGAAATGCATTATGGGATGATACAGCATTAATTTGCCATGTAAATCAGTCTCAATATTGGGACATCTCTAAATATGACAAAATTTTAAGTTCATTATTTATGAATAATATTAACATACAATTTAATCAATATTTATAATATTAACATACTCTTTGAAAGTATTGAAATGTATATATTGTGTACATAATAGTTCTTTTTTAAAAACTTAGCTGCTCTAAAAATGATATGCAAAACGTAAAACATTTTGCTTATCTTATAAACTCTGAGTAGACTTAACTTTCAAAAACTAAAAGGCCAGTACTTTCAAGAATGGCCAAATCTTAATATAATTTCTCACCAATATAATCTTCTTCACTTAACATCAATACTCCAAACCTGGTATTATTGCTTAATTACATACTAGAATATTGCTTAAGAATGTGGACGGTCTTGATTCAGAACAACATGGTGGATATAAGTGTAATGTTTTTATGTATGAGTGATTGTGAGTAGGTGAATGGGTGAGCAAGTGAGAGAGTAAGTGGTATGTGACAAAGTGAATTCTGAAAAGACTAGGCTTCAATTTTCACCATAATTGATCTAAATCACATTGTGGTCATTTGTTACTCAGATAAGAAGCAAACTTACTTATGGTGAAGCCAGTCCAATCACAAAACACACTAAGCCAGCAAGAAACTTATAGAAAATATTTCTACAATATAAACAGTTATTTCTGAAGAAAAGTACAATTATTGCTTATAAATCTATATTTATCATAATAGTTGCAAGAACAATTAAGTTAAAAATAACAGCACTAATAAAGAACAATCTTTGTTTATTTTCTCCAATATCTAACAAATTGATTCATCATACAAAGTCAAAACCATGAGACTCATAAGGCCATTATGAGTTCAAAATTCTGTTCTTACCAGCTTAAGTGCCGTGGATGATTTTGTACACAAGCTCACCAAATTACTTCTGAACTACTTTCTAGCAGATCATAATGTTCTCTTAACTTATTGCTACTCCTAACATAATTTATGCTTGAGCCACATGATAGTTCCTTACGATGAGTTAACCTCACTTGCATAGATGAGCTTCCAGTCATTGCGAGGGAGTTCACTGTAGCTAGTACATTACTTCTACAGTATCCCCAGCAAATTGAACTTATCTACAGCCATGTAAGAACATTGTCAGCTTTGCTGCTGCTAGGATCTATCAAGGCCTGCATGTTGTCCAGGATGTCATTTGAGAAATCATCACCAAGCTGTTTGAAAGAAATATTAATTAAAATGTTCAGTGATTAAAATAAACTAAATATGAGAGATAAAAACAAGACAAAGTTTCAATACAGTAAACATTTTAACTCCTGCGCAAAGCAAATTATTAAGCGATCCTGGTATCTCCATATGACAAATACACATCCATCAATATGCATAAGTTAATTTTCATATTTAGTCTGTTGTTAAAAACAGCTAATTAGTCAATTTTGTATGCCAACAAAGAGAAAAACAAAAACAATGAATTAACTTAATTCACGGGTGGGAAAGAAATACACAAAATGAAATGATCTACGAAAATTCAAATTAAAAGTATATAGTTACATGAAAGAAAATACCTAATTGGAATATACAGAAGAAGGATATACCTTAATATATATCTGAATACAGCATTTCTCAATCTGCAGGTCTATAAAATGCATACTAACACACATGATCAGGTGACTGATAATCTGCAGGACTTTCTACTTTGCAAGAAGACAATTGGATATACTTTAATCACTACAGTATGGGGAAAATTATTTAAACTGTGCAAATTATCAGCTGAAAATGCAGATGCATAGGCTGAAATTTTAAATTTGTAAGATAAATTTAATGACAATATTTACTCATTACTAATTCAAATAATTTCAAAAGAGTAAGAGTAATTGTTGTGTGAATTGGACCTTCAAATGCTGTTTTTAATGAAATTATATAATAATTCTATATATTTGTATGTTTTTCATTTATTTATCAATAGTTGGATACTTGCAGCTGACCCATAACAATTAGCAAATTACACTGAAGTGGATCAAACACTTTGTTTCTGTTTATACGTGGTTATAAGACAAAATGGTAGCATACATGTGCATAATATTGCAGATTTGATAGCACACGTGAGCACAAGGGGGGGAGGCTGAAAACTTTGAAAGAGACTTCATAACTTTATGTAGTAAAAAGTTTTATTTATATAAATATGATTAACTGCAGATTTCCTTCTTTTTTAACCTGACAATTTGGAGGAATTATTAGAGGACATTTTGGGAAAGAGATCTCCAAGCCATCTGGCAATCCCAGAAATGGTTCAACAAAAAATTAATTATACGTATTAATTATATTCTTAAAGTTATAATTTCATTGTCCTTAAAGTACGTTTTATTTATTCACTATTGAAATGTGTCATATATAAGTAGGAAAAAATGCAGTTGTCCCCTCCCTCCCACCTTTCCGTTTTCACTCTCACTTGTTTTAGGCTGCACATGCCTATGCTAGGTAAAATAAAGTAACTCTTAATAGCACTTCAGCTACATTAAAATTTTAATAATACATATATATCTATCCATAGAATATACACTGAAATAATTCATCTTAAACATATGACTAATAGTAAATAACCAAGTTGGCACGTACTTGAAGGGATGGAACAAGATCATCAGTTGAGTCAATATTGTCATTAAGGGTGCTGATGTCTGGAGCATCCAATGCTGCCATATCTGAGAGGTTTCCTCCTTCTGAAGAAAAAAAAGAGAAAGAAAAAAAAAAGGTTGTATGAAATGCTCTGTCCAACCACTGTTGGATATTCAAGCTATCATAATACTCTGAATTAGTGGTGTAGCAAGATTCTCAGAGGCCCCAGGGCAGAAAGTCAAAATTGGGACCCTTTCTGTGACTTTTGAATTAGAATTAAATAGTTTTAAATCTAATTGATATACAAGTATGATAAGCACAATAGAGAAAATAAGCATGAGTGTGACTTGATTTATTGTTCACAGATTCCAGTTTGGGAATCCTTATTAGAGGCACCCGATTTCCAAGGCCTCTGGGCTGTACTTTGGTCGCACCAGACCAGGCTATCTTTGCCCCTCCTTTAAATGGTATTCACATAGGAAAAACTATATTGCAAACTAAAATACAAGGTTACCTGTTTAATTGTTTGTGGCTCCTGGATCACTTATTTTAGTTGTACAACAAACTTCATGTTAATTTAAAATATTGATCTCAAATTCTTATTTTCTCCATTTTTTAGTAAGCAAATATAATAATGTTAGAGCAAATATATATATATTATTATATATATATATATATATATATATATATATATATATAATATATATATATATAATATATATATTATATATATATATATATATATATATTATATATATATATATAATCTACTCTGCAAGAACTCTCATTTTATGAATTATATACTATTTATCCTCATTATGGAAAGTTGAGCATTTAAATTTGATTGCCATTTACACTGGATTGTCTGGGGGTGGCAATCAAATTTAAATGCTCAACTTTCCATAATGAGGATAAATAGTACATAATTCATATAAATGAAGTCTTGCAGAGTAGAAGAATTAAATAACTTACCACTGACTCCATCCATGTTATCATCCATTGTGGCAAGAAATTCTTCAGGAGTATGAGAGAGAGAATAACTGGTTCCTCCCATACTCAGGCCACTATCAGTAGATTCTTGACGAGAGTGATCAGTCACGCCTGAGAGGAAGGGATCCATGCCTGCCGTGGCACCAGGCGGCATGTCTATTGTACTTTGACGCATCATTTCCTGCTGCTCCAAAGAAGAAACATATGAAAATATGGTCTTCTAAATTACATAAACCATAAATCATTATCATAATGAGTAATGATTCACCCGATTGTATAGCATAGATTTTATTTTGAATAGACAAAATTCAAAAAAGGCATGTACGAGTATTAATGCACACTTTTACCATTTAAAAAAAAAGTATAATAATAATAATAATAATAATAATAATAATAATAATAATAATAATAATAATAATAATAAAAGTTTAAAAAATTAGAGTTTGCAGAGATCGAAAGCACATTAAAGCAGTTGAAAGACAAATGTTTTTGACAATGTGTGTTTGGGAAGTACCTGTCGCATAATTTCTTGTTGGCGCAGTTTTAACCGCTCTCTCTCCATCTGCAGGGATTGGAGCCTGAGTTTTTGCTGAGCCTGTACAGCCTGTGAATTGAGAGGTTGCATCCAACTTGCATTTTGGTGCTGCAGCATACTACCTGGAGACCTCTGAAGATGGATTGCTGTAACAAAGCAGCTTAGTTATAAAAGTGCAGAAGGTCACACATTGGCATTAGAAAAAAATGGTATTTCTATTTGCTACAGCCAAACGACCAACCCATGTACAAAGATTATTAAAGCCAAGTAAAGCATTTATAGTATTGTCAAGAAGCCCATACTAAATATTAACATACTATAATAGAGAACCTTCACCTTACTTTTTATAATATACTGTATGTTTCATGAAATCATTTAGAAGATTGATTCTACAACATTCTTAAATTCTTAACAAGGTAGCAACTGCTTACACAATACTGAAGAAAATTAGCATAATAAGAAAATGAACAGTAACAAAATGAAGAACTTAACTAAAGTAAAAACAGAAACAAAAAGATAAAACAAATGTTCAAGGCATGATTTCAAAGAACACACAGCAGAATTGCAAATACCACCATAGATTTAGGCAGGAGATTGGGAAGTAGCTGGATGTAGGAAATGGAGATAGGGGAGGAGACGTTACCTACTTTGATCTGAAGAAAGTCTGAGCACACGTTGAACAAGGGTTGGAATTGCAGTGCGGGACCAGTAAGCAGTTGCTGAAATCAAGACATACAGAGTGCATACCGAATGTGCCAAAAACCAGGCATGCCAGATATTTCATAGTTATGCTGAAATTTGTTATGGTATAAACACCAACCAAGGAAGATTATACGACATGGAAGATGTTAGGTTGATGAAAACTGAAAAAGCCATAACAAATAAGCAGCAATAATGAATTCATGTGATGCCTGGTGCAAAATAATCTACTGAAAAGCAAGAAGCCCATATATACCCAACAAATACCTAGAGCTTCCAAAAATCATCTACAATATGTATTTCTGAGTTGTTATGTAGTAATTTTCCCATACTTGACTATCACCATTACTCCTAATCCAAAGAACAGAATCCCTTAGGGAATGTAGAACTAACAAAAGGCCAGGAAGCAAATGTAAATAACTTAACATATGAAAGGGCTCAAACAGAGCTAATCGAACAAAAGCTCACTCTAGGAGAGCCTTTTGAAGATTATCTCAAAATATCACTTCTCAATACTCATCTAGGAAATCACTCCAAACACAGATTTGCCTCAAAAGGTATAAAGAGAGAATGTGAGAAAAAAAGGAACAAAAGAAATAATGAGAGAAAATAGATAGTAGAAAATGCATTATGACAGAAAAGGAGAAAAATAAAATATTAGAAGTAAGATTGAAAGGAGAAGATTAACAAAATAAAAATGAATTTAACACAAGAGTCAGTAAAAACGGAAGAGGGCACCATACATATTTTAAAGTTAAGAAGAGACAATGAACGAAACGTAGAGCACAAAGAGGTGAAAGGAAGAGGAAATACACGAGGACAAAGAATTAGAAAATGAGTTCGAAGTTAGACAAATAAATTAAAAAAATAATAAGAAAGGGTTGAGGGCTGCCTGAGAGAGCAACGTCCCGGCGGGCGCAGCAGTGAGGGGGCCTGGAGCGGGAGCGGGAGGAGAGGGCTCGACATGCCATCGGGGGTCGTTCGTTACAGCGGGCTGCAGGTACGCAAAGTAGGGAGGCGGGCGGCGGGCGGAGGCTGGCGGGTCCGAGGCTAGGCGAGGCGGCAGCCTGCGTGCCAGGAACCGGCGCAGCGGCCCGCGCCCGCGCCCGAGCGTGCCACCCGGCGCCTGGCGCCCGCCATCGATTTCGCGCGCCACCCGACACGCGGCGCCGCGCCGCGCCGCGCCGCGCCGCACCGGCCACGCTGCGCCGACCGGCCGCCGTCGGCCACAACCCTCCACGGCCGAACGGCACCCACCACGCCTCCCTCCCCCCAACATTTGATCTTCTTGTTGTTGTATGGGACATTTCGGAGGGGAGGCCTTTGCCACATGCACCGTATCCCCCCTCCCACCCAATATTTGGAACTGGTGACGCCAATGCATGGTATACTGACTAATCAGCCATTCTAGCCGAGGGTGAGCCGTGGGCGAGTGCATTTTTGTGTCAAGAGACAAATCCACTCACGAAAACATTGAGATTGTGATCATATCCTCGTAAGTCTGACAATACTACTCTGGACGGTCTCTGGATACCACTGAATAGTCGAATCCATTACGGAGTCCACAGTGCAAATGCTTTCGGAAGGGGGAAAAGAATCCATCCTTTGATCACAACCAAACAATGCAGACGGATCACCAATTCCTTCATTTTCTTCATGTTTTATTTACTGGAGTTTTCAATAAGCATCTTCATTAAATCATCCAACAGGAACACTTACAATGCAGGACAAGACTTCTCAGATCCCGATTTTTCATGACATGCCGTCTGTGTTGCATCAGAGCCTCCGATTCGGAGGTATGGTTAATGCACGCAAATCATGATCAAGTGCCTTTTATTGAAGAAATATATTTTGGCCCCCCTTTCCCCCCCCCCACGAATACTGCTTTTTTTATTGCAATAATTTAGTCATTCTCATGAATTTATTTTATCTATTTTCGGTTCCAAAATACTTTTCAAGACTTAATTTTAAACATTTTTTTTAACAAACATCTATGAGTCGAGAATAAAACTGAATTCGAATGTCTTTCGCTATTATTTGTGGCCTTATCGAAGACTACGGCCAAAAATGCAATAAATACTGGCTCTTGTCCCCGTTGTCAACGAGAGTAGATTTTCATATAAAACTGAAGAGCCGGAATCCAGTTTGGAATGCCATGTAGCTATAGTTATGAAAATATTGATATGAAAGTATCATGGAATAATAATCGAAAACAGAAAGCAACAAAACAGATGTACGCTTTTGAATGTCATCGAAAGTAACGAATGAAGTTGAAGAAAAGTCCAATATCGCTGAAAATCGCAGTTTCGTGTTTTGTTTGTATGCCTCATTTACCATTTATTTATGGTATTTCGAGACTGAAGTATCATATTGAACCTGAACATCGAGATTTATCAGTACAGACATGTATTGAAATCTTATTATCTTTTGATAATTTTTGCAAACACACAGCTGCAGACAATACTTAAACACACAGAATTAATGTAAAAGACAGAAGTAACAAAAATGTGGTGGAAGTAAGAGTACTGTTTTGCAGGCCACACAACCCCCTTCCCGTTAAAAAAAAAATCAGAGACTTAATACCAAATGTTGCCTATGTTAAGCTTGGCCACGAACTCTACAGGCACCCAGATAAACAGCCCCCTCCCCCCCCTTCATGAAAAGCATTCACCTACTATTTGCGTCACTCCAGTCAAAAAGAAACACCCCCGCACAAACTGAAAACGCGAGCCATTCTGCACGTTTCAACCTATTTCGGTCCTGGCATCCCATTGCGTCGATTCGCGGTTCTCGGAAACTGGAACAAAGATCTGTTTGAATTTTGCCCGGATCGAGTGGGCGAATCGCTAAACACCATTTCTCCCTCAACACTAATTTCGGTCTCAACAAAATAAGATTGGAAACGGTAAAGGTCACACTCTCATTTTCAGTTTTCATAGTCGACGCAAATCAACGTATAACCACTGACCTCAAATGTGATAACGTGTGATAAATACCAAGATATAAAAGTTCCATGTATTATTTGTGAATGAGCCATAAAATGTCGAACTATGAAAGGTCACTAGTCATAGTGCCAACTTGGATAGGTCGGCCTTTTAACAAATTTTTCATATTTATTTACAATTTATGCTTTTATAAATAGCAGTGTTTATCACGTTTTGAAGCCATTGACGTTTATATCACTGATTTGCCTTGCAACTGCCTACAAATATCGATTATCAGCGACAGTGTAACGGGTATAACAATCGGATACGCCAACTACGTTAGCGGGTACGAACCCGATCGAAGCCGTGGATTTTTAAGGGCGAAAACATCCTTCGTACGTCTTCTTCGAAGGGGAAGTAAAGTCGGCTGTCCCATGTTAGTAGATATACTGCATGTAAAAGATCCTGAAGTCTAAATGATGCCTCTAAGATTAATTCAAATCGCCTGTCGCAAACCGTTTTGTCGTCCGAGTGATACCTCCTTTATAGCTAGTGGGTGAAACGAGCGTAGGGAAATTTGCGTGGTCAGACGAAGAGCGGGTCTGATTGCCCGAGTCTCGCGACGTAAAGTAAGGCATTAATTCAATTATCAAAGAAAATCAATCATTAGTTATAGAGTTTGTGTTTAGGTCTATTTGATGTGTGCTTTTCGATTTGTTGTTACCCGTTAACATTAATTAATCCGTTAACAAAAATACAAATTCAATCGCATCGTTTTTTTTAATTCAATAAAAATGCACGTTTAGAAACGTTTAGAAATATTTCTGATCTGAAGATAACTACTACCTCAATAAGAATGAGTTACGTCAAGTGAGCGATAGTTGGATCTATTTTTCGCAAGAAGAAATTATGCATTTTAAGTAAAGTAGGCCAAACTTATAAATATTACCCAAACATAAAGGCAACAACATTCGATGAAATTCTCGGACGTACGGTAGAATCCCTTCAATTAAGAGAGATTTCCAGAAGTTGTGCGTTCCAAAGGTTGAGTAACAAGACCGATATTCCGTATTTACTGGGACCTCGCTATTCGTAAGTGTTAATAAATCGATTTTAGCGAAATAGTGGATTCTCTAGATAGTACATATATGTTTTCTTAATTTTTATGAACGGCGTGGGACGTTAACAGGATTACATTTTCTTGGACCAAAATAGATTCGAATAGCGGGAGGGTATCGATGTATGGTTGCCAACTGCCCCAACTCTTCATTTGTACATTAATTTCTCTCCTAATGGTCAATCACGGAGTTTTATTATTCTTGAAGCGCCGCCGCCGCCACCGCCGCGCCACCGCCTGGTGCTCCGCCCCCCGCGCGCGCCCACGCCGGAACGCCAGGCGGCGATCGGGGCGAGTTGGCACTCTTTCGCCACGCGCTCAGATAATTTATTATAACGAACCCACGGAAACCACCTTCACGGTTCAAGTCCAAGTATGTGGGCTACAGAAATATCTATGGGTGCTT